GATAATCTCCAGAAATCAATTTAAAGGGTAATAAAATAATTGCTGATGTAATATTTCCCCTATAACTGTTACGAAAACACAAAATAAGTATTTATATGTGTGTACAAGCTGTTTATATTGTCAAAAAGCCTGTGTTTTTAGGGTTATTAACAAAGTTCGTGTCCTCAGACCAGTAATTTTTGGGGTCACAAGTTTTTGCCATGGATATTTTGTGGGTCAGAAGATAAAAAGTTTGGGAACCACTGATTTAGCTGATAACATTTAATTTTGATGATTAACAGATGCGGTCGACGTTGTGGCCTTGGTCCACCTTTTCTGGCTTTCCTCTTTCTCTGGTTTATATCGGTGTTTCAGGTGATTAAACAAGCGTTGGCTAGCATTAGCTAATTACGCACAGTACGATTTTTCCCCAATCCTAAATGCAAGACATCCTGGAGACTCCCAGCTAAAAGCTCAGTGAGACGTCACTGTTCACAGAAATCTTGCTCTTTCAAAAGCCAGCAGATAACTGAGTGATTTGATGTGGCACTGGAACATGCTCGGGAGGCAGAAATCAGTCCTGTGAGGACATGAACTCAGCTCAGCTGTCACACAACAATTCAGCGAGTTTCTCCTTTCTGACGGATAGCTTGTGAGGAGGTGAAAAAGTTTTCCAGACTGAGCTGCCAGCTGTGTCACATGTCCTCTGTCCCATAAATGTGCTTGTCCAATCAAACGTCTGTTAGTCCAGGACAAGGCTGAGTTGTGTCTTCTTCTGCAGACTCATTGTGCTCAGTTTTCCYGTTTCTGTTCACTCTGCTGATATTAGTGCGACGTGCATGAGACACTTCAGTGTTTGGAGTCTGYTGATGTCAGAGGAAATCCGTTTCTCCAAAGAAACGTGGTGTCCAGACTTTTTGTCTTTTCTGTAGTGTTTCACTGAATATTAGTTCTGGTGATTCAGTCTGAGCTGTTCCAGAAACACATTGAAGACGTTCAAGACAAGTGAACTTGTAGAAGACATTTCTAGAACATGTGTGTCTCGTGTCCTGTGGTTACTGATGGTACCGATCCAATAAAACAACAACAATATGACAGATTCAGCCATACAGAAAGCGCTGCAGAAACAAGCTCACTGTTTTCCCTGGTGGCTTTTTCATTTTTTTATGTGTTTCTAACAAAGGTGGGTAGTGCTAATCCAAAAATTAGCTCTGAAATTTCTAAAGCGCTTATGAAAATATTTAGGTCCGCAACTTCAAAAGCTCTAATGCCATAGAAAAACTAGCAGAAGCTAATTTTAAAGTGCAAGTTCAATTTGATACTTACTAGCTGGCAACAATTCATGCACAATAATGCACAACACTGCCAACTAGTGGTGTATGAACCTTTTTACAGCTTAATCCTACAACCACCGATTGCTGGGGATGTGATTTCATGAAACAGAACTTTAGCTCCTGGTGTAAAAATTAAAAAGTTGTTGAGGATTGCTAGTTCGGCGGCTTCTTTGTCTTTTTCTTTTGTTTGTTGTAGATTTTTCATCAAAGAAGCATCAATAAAGTAATTTTAAAACTGTTTATTGGAAAACTGAAGCGATGCATTCTGGGTACACGACGGATTTGATTTGTGACGGGAAACTAAAGCACTGAGTACAGGAAACTATCTTCACTTCAAAATAAGAGCTTGGATTTTAAAGTTTTCCATGTAGTTGCTCCAGTTGACCACTAGATGTCAGTCTTCATCAGCATAACATCTTTAAATCATTTCTGCGTCTCTAACCCCGTTGCTTCGACCAATTACGTCAATTATTGAGCTCCAGCGTTTAAACTTTTTTTTGTTTTAAAAAAGGAGCTCCGATTGTAAAGTAAAATAAATCAATACATACAAAAATTTTAGTATGGATTACAAACGTTAACTGTTTTTGCTATTGCCTTCCTGCTACGTAAGCAGACACAAAGCATTGTGGGAAATCAGAACCATGACCCAAATCAACAGTCAGCAGGATGTATACCTTCACAATAAGTGTGTTTATCTGGGAGGGGTGCTGTTGGATAGATCACATGTGTTGTGATTCATTGACAGTCATACCTTCTGCTGTTCAAGATAATGATGACTGGTAGATAATTAGTTGTTAGTGGTACTGCATTTTAATTTTAGAAAGCACAAATCTGCTTATGAATTATAAGAATTAGTAAGACCCCTAAAGCGCAAACAAAATATTTAGGTCCGCAATTAGCGGATTTGCGCTTTAGCAGACTGGTGCCCACCACTGGTTTCTAAGGATCAGACTGAATCTAATTACACATGACTCAAACTCTGACACATCCAAACAAACACTTTCACTTTTTATAACAGCTCAGATTTGATGACCTGTTAATTAGATTCAAAAACTGATCGTATGATTTTATAAAATGTTTTGAAATAGCATCATTCAAGCAGATTCCTCCTTAATTGTCTGGAGCAGCTACCTGACTAACGGACTCACGTCTCTCGAGCGTTTCCCCATCAGTTTTAAGACCCAGTTTTCGGGTCACTGCTTTCATCACGTGGTTCTGGGGGTCTACTGCAATGGGCGTTACGGATCGCTGGGCATGAGCCGGCGCCAGGACCTGATGGACAAACCTCTCATGTACCGGACACTGGGCGAGCTGGTGGCAGAGTTCGAGAGTTCCTACAAGAGATACCAGCACACGCTAAAGAAGGTGGGGCCGATGGAGGGTTAGACCACCAGAGGGGGGCTAAGAAGCTCGAAATCAGTGTTTATAAATCATTAATAAAATTATTTTCATCTTCTCTCAGGTGAAGATTGGCTTGTACGTGCCTCACGACCCCCATGTCTTCCAGCCAATCGAATGGAAGCATTTGGTGCTGAACGCAGCCAGACTTGGAGCTCAGGAGATGAGGAAAGAACTGGAGAAACATGGCCGGGACATGAGGATGAAGGTACTTATATGCATTTGGTGTTTTAAAGTTAAAAATGACCAACTCAATCAATCAAAAGCCAAAACAATGAGCTCAGAWCATTCCTCAAAAACTGTGGTCAAATGCAGAAAAACAGGAACAGCTTTAGCACAAAAACATCCTCGCTGTCTGTCTGCATCACATCATGTGACAAGCATGACCTTTTGAATAAAGCTTTAAGAAATGAACAAAATAAAAACCTGTTGGTCATGTGTTTGTTTCGCTCTTTTCATTTTCAGTATTAGACTCAATGTTCCTTATAATCAGTGTTTTATGTCTGAAATTACTTTTTCTTGTTTGTGTGATTCTGTTGGTTAAACTGAAATTGTTTCCTCTTTTTCTTTATTTGTTGTTTTCTTTTGACATTGAACAGGGGGATATCATTATAATGTGTTTGCTTGAGAACAGGGGAGGATGTTGTTTCCTCTGGGTTGAACATGGAAACTAAACTGTCAAGAATTATTTAGGGCACAATGAGGAAGGAAGGACTGTGAGCAT